ATGATTAGATCTCAGTCTTTTTGCAACCCTGTGCCTCTGGACTGTAAGCAGGTATTTCTCCTTCCTCGGTGTCTTTCCTCCCTCCTTGGGTGTTCCAGGATGGCTTAGTGAGCTGAAATTGGGTATTTTCCCTTCTCAGTTTAGCTAGACTCCGCTAACATCCCAGCAGGCTAGGCTCTGTTGTATTTCAAAATGCTTCTTTTTCCCCTCCCCTGCCAGAAGCCACAGGCACTTTTCCTTCCATATGTGTTACCAGAGCTTGGTTGAGCTCCTGGAGGTATATCCCCCAGTGTTGTAGACCACCCACTCCTGCCCCGTGACTGGCACACCCCATGACTGGAGTTCCTAACAGAGTTGTCTGCGCTTAGCCTCCAGCAGCCAGTCAATTAAGGCTCAGGTTTTCCTACTCAGCACTGGTTCCTGGGGCAGCTTCATGCTCTGGGAAGCTGCATTCCCCATGTCGGCTTACAGGTCTCTCACCGTTCTGGGGAGTGTTTCCTTCTTTCCCTCCCTTGTGCATCCAAGATAGAGTTCTTGACTTTTCAGTCTGTTCAGCTTATTCCTTGTTGAGGCCGGAGTGGTGACTTCCAAGTTCTTTATATGAGGAGTTGACAATAGGAAGTTAGGGCACTGAAACTCACACCTGCTCTTTTGGCTTCTTACCACTGAGTATCCTGAAAGATTTACATCTTATTATTTACAAGTAGAGGATAAGTACAGAAAACATTGGATTCATTTGGGGAGCCCAGGAGAAGTTAAACTGTGGATGTTGTTACAATTTAATTGATTGTATAACCTCACCTTCAAAATACAGATTTTCATTGCATGTGGAGCCTCTTTCAGATCTAACTCCTTGAGTCCCTTTGATAAAAATTGAAATGATTCCATTGTCTGGAAACCTGAACTGTTAAAAATGCTCCACTGGGGGCTTGAGTTTCGTTTGGTTTTGTCTGAAAAGGAGTTTAAGCGTGGATATTAAAGGGGTCGTCAGTGTTTTCTGTTCTTGACAAGTGAAATATAAAAGCAGTTTAGGAAAATACTTCTAGGATAGAGATTCTCCCAACTCTGAAGGTTTTACCAAATTTTCAGACTGCCTCATCTTGTAAACCCAGCTGCAACCCACACCAACTGCAGGGCTCAGTGGGCAGTTACTCTGTAATCCCTTCGCCTCTCTGTGGCCTGTTCCTCCGGAAGCGTGATGAAGGGGACTCGAAGGTCCCCCATACGGTTCTATGAAAGATGTCCACCATACTCACTGTACTCGGGCTGCCCTCATTCCAAGTTCATTATACACCTTGTTCAACATGTTTACTTTTTAAATACTCAGAGAATTATCAGGTGGTTGCATGACAGAGATGTTTGTTTTCACAGGCTAAACAGTGGGAGGTAGTTTAGACACACACTATGATGTAATAGGAAAGTGTCTAATTATTCCATTTTTGGCTCAGCTTTTAGTTTCAGGTAAAACTGCTGATAGCAAGGCTCAACAAGTTTTGTAGCTTAGCACTCTTAGCACTATCTGCATGTGAGTTACTGGCTCACTAGAAATAATGGCCATGCTTTAGTCCCCAGTACACGAAATCTTCTCCTTGGCTTTAGCACTAGAATTTAGTAAAGGATCTCAGCCTCTCTGTCATCAGCAGTGTGGTTACAGAAAGCTCCAAAAGTGCCATGTGTATTTCAGCGTGCCCTACAAGCCGACTTGTAATATTCTCTGTCTGAACATAGAATCCCAAAAAATAAAATCCTAGAAGCAAAAGAACTAATGGTTCTTTTGCCTGGTTTGTTCATCCTGCTGTGTTAGGGTACAGGTTATGATTGGTCCTTGAACTGTCTTCATTGAGTAGAAGGAGCAAGGAATTTTGCTCAGTAATTGTTTATTTGGTTTGGGGACAAGGGACTGTGGCCAGAAGTAGACATGGTCCAAGATAAAGATTCAAGATCTGGGATGGCTAACTATTTCTGTAAAGGGCCAGTGAGTAAATACTTTAGCATTAATGGTTTGTGTGATCTCTTTATAACCCTTCAATGCTGCTGCTGTAGCATGGAAGCGGCCATAGAAGTACATAAACAAGTGCATGTGGCTGTGTCTCAGTAGAACTTTACTTACAGAAACAGGTGGTGGACGAGATAGGCCCATGGGCCATCCCCTATTCTAGATCCCTGAACATAGACCACTGAGCTGTTTGATTCTGACCTCCAGGAAAAAATAGCAGTAGTTTCCACTTATCTGAACTAATACACATAACCTTCAGTATTCCTAGCCAAGACTTCACCGTATTTGTATATAATAAATTCATTGTCAGAAAGAAGAGCATTTTTTCCTTGCTGGCTTCTTTGGGTGCTAACCCAAAATGTATTACTTATTTGTCATTTACACCCCACTTCCTTCCCAAAATAATTTGAGGTAGCTTATAGTAAAAGGCATGTATAGATTTCAGCTGTCAAAATAGAGATGTAAATCTAAAACCACATGAAAATGTCACACAAAACAACCTCTGAATATTCCATTTTCACCCTCCAGCTCAAGCTGGTAGCTCAACCTTTTCGAGACTAAACAGTCTTTCGGACACCTCCTAAATTGAATACTGATATGTTCCATGTTTTATCTTTTCTAGCATAATTTCCTTTCTGAAAAAATTTTTACCCCATGTTTTATAGTGAGTCTTCTACCAAAGGAAATGTTAATATCCGTCATTTTTCTTCTGATTGAAGTATAAGCCAAGAACTGTTATACAATGAATCGAGTACATGGAAGGAAAGAGAAAATTGTAAGCTAACGAAAACTTTGGTGAGCAAGTGACCTATTCAGAACAAATTTCAGGGCTCTTGGAGAGCGGAGACTATATCCAATCAGTTAGAGGCTCATCCCTGCTCTGCGGGGAGGAGTGTTATGTTACTTTAGAGTTAGGATGGTCAGAAGCCCACTTACAAGGTGCACGGAGGAGGAGAGGATTTGGGCTGGCAGCAGGGAGGGGTGATTTCTGGTGGGTGACGCGGAAACAAAGTCAAGTGATTTGATGCACTGCCAGCTGGAATTGTAACTCCAAAGGTAATTCTAAAATAGGAAAATTGGTCTATGGGACAACAGTGAGTGTCTACAAATGACTCTAATATAAAATCCTAATTAATACTAGATTCAGGGGCTTAGCCAAGTGGCTGCTGAAGGTCATGTAAAGCCCAGGCCGGGGGTCTGCTTGGATCACTGGCCCTGGGGAGGTGTGTCAGGTATGCTCATGCAGATGCTGGAATTTAAAGGAAAGAAATATGGAAATACTTCCCCAGAAAACCTGTGTACCAGGCAAGGATTCATTCACAAGTGAAGACAGAAGCAGCTCAGCTAACAACTGCAGAGTAGAGCCAGAAGCAAGACAGGGGGAGTATTAAGGACAAACAGTCTACTGCCAGAATTGCAAGATATGGTAGTGGGCTAACTCTATGACACTTCAGAAATTCTATAACTAGCCTCTGGGAAGATGTCCAACATCCATTTTAAAGATATTTGATCTGCTCTGTGAGTCAAGAAATGTTCTAACCTTTAAATGGAAAAGAGAAATTAAGAATTTCCAACTTAAGCTGCAGTCCCTTCTCTTGTTCACTCTTGGTAAGAAGGCAGATTGGGGTAGTGTTGGGAGGGTGGAGGCAGTTTGTCATTATCCATCAAGGTGATTGGCACGGCATGCTCTTTGACTCTGCATCTGCACTTGTACAATATATCTTTTTTTTTTAAAAAATGCATACTGTCAAGCTGGCAAAGATGATCATTTTATTAAAAAAATGAGATGCAGAAAAAAAGTTGAGATTTCAGAAGTGTTGTGACTTCAGTACTCCATATAAGGGATTGCAGATCTGGTTATACAAGTGTTTAAGTTTGGCAAGGATAAATTGTGATGTGGAAAAAGTAAATTTTAGGACAGCATATAAAGAATGATCCCTTTTCTTTGACAGTAATAGTTCAGCATCTGCCATCAGCTCTGGTTTTGATCCCAGGGTCCTAGGATCGAGTCCTGCATTGGGCTGCCTACTCAGCTGGGAGTCTGCTTCTTGCTTTCCCTCTGCCCCTCCTCCTGCCCGTGCTCTCTCGTGCACACACTCTGCTTTTCTCAAATAAATAAGTAAAATCTTCAAAAAAAAAATAAAGTAATAATTGTATGTGAAAATATATGCACAGAAGATCTAGAACCATGTGCAAAATTTCCTTTGGTGGTTATGGTGTGTGGACAGTTTGAAGTGTTTGAGAAAACAAGCTGCTTCTTACAGTCGACCATAAGTGAACCCCACCCTCTCTTCACTGTCACAGACACTGGAGGAGCAGGAGGTAGAGACAGTCTTCAAGTAGTGGGTTCAGCTTGAGAAGAACATGTCATTAGCAGTGAAAAGATGTTATATGAGGCTTTATGTCATCGTTATAAACAAATACACATTGGGTAGTGTGTGTGAGACACCATGTAAGGCACTTGAGCTATACAACAGGGACAGAACAGGGCAGCCTCAAGCAGACAGACCCCAGGTGTGACAAGGAAGCCAGGTGAAGGTATGTTTAATTGGATGCGTATTGGTACCCAGGTCAGAGTAATAGCCATTTGTATTACAATGAAATTGCAATGTCCTAAATGGGTTTAAGTTTTCTTTCTCTTCAGTTTTCTTTCTTCATTTTAGCCTCCGAATGATGTGTTTAAAAATAGAGTTTTTGAGGATGATTAGTGTTTCAACTATGAAATCATAGGAAAAGGTCACCTGGCTGGCATGTGGCCACGACCCACAAAACCATCAAGTGGCTTTGGTTTCTTATTGCAACTATGTATATCCCAGATTGGCCCTGTAGCCCCTCACTTTGCCTAAGGAAGAATCTCTAAACAATATCTTAATGCAGGTGGATAGGTAAACAGAGGTGTAGATAGATGGATAGATAGATAGATAGATACATAGATACATAGATACTTATGTATGTGAATATTTTTGCCACCTGTCAACTTAGATGTTTGCATTTTCTTCCACAGAAAAAGCAAAGAACGAAAGATCTTTCTCGGGTATTCCATTCTTACAATCCATATGATCACAAGGTAAGAAAAGCGTGTTATTTGTGTGTTGGATAGAAGTCTTTCTGAACGTAAAGCACAATTCCCACCAGTAGATAGTGATTTTGAAGTATGTTTTCCAGTTACACTTATGTTCTCATTTTGTCAACTCTTTATCTCTTCCTAAGGAAGTCAGAAAATATTTCTGACCTAAAATAATCATACTTCATTCACATTAAAATCTACTCACACATGTTCTGGAATCTCAAAGATGATGTAAAAGCAGACTTGTGGGTGTAATTTATTTGGTTGTTTGTTTGTTTTTTCCAAGCACTGAAGTGATGGACTTGACTTTGAATTGGTAAAGATAGTTGAAATAGTAATTGCCAACTCTTTGATTTTCCATAGCTCTTGATAGTTATTTTTTCGAAATAAAATCCATAATAGAGCAGTACATAGCATAATATCTGAAAGATCGACTGCCAAAAGTTTTGCTGCACAGAAGACCAAATATCACCATGACTCGTATGAATTCATCCCCCAGCTTTATAAACCCATGGCCAGTGTTGGTTCATTCGTACCCCATGCTTTTCATTCCCTGTATTTCTAGACATCTTTTTACATAGAAGCATTTCACCATATATTTGTAAAAGATAAGAACTCTTAAAAAAAAAAAAAAAGCACTTCTGTTTTTAAAGAAAATGCTCAACACCACATCATCATAGGGAAATATATTACAAGATTCCTGAGACTTGTGCACAACTTCTATATCATGGAAGATTCTAGTAAATCTGTTAATTTGAGGTGATTTCAGAAGCGAACAAAAAATTTGCACACTTGAAATGCTAATATAAACTTAAATCTTTATCTATGAATTTACAAGGAGACATGTGGTGGGGATTTTTTAAGTAGCCAAAATAAGTAGTGTGAAAACTATTTTCCTCAGTTGAGAATTACTGGAGATGTCTGGATTCAGGAGGAAAAACTGTGCCAGTTGTTCATAGAAGTTGAAAGATTTTCAATAGCTTCTGCTGTTTCTATAGTGACCGATTGACTTTCAGCACCAACAATTTGTGAAAGAGGTGTTTATGCTTCGTGTGACCATGGCAATATACAGTACTAAAAATTATAGCACTTCCAGTTGCATTTTTCAAGTTAAACCAATCACTTTGCAGAATATGGCAATTTGTTTGAAAGAGATCAGGAGAGCCAGTAATGCCTGACAAGTAGCGAGAGAAGGTGCAGGCTGATAAGTAATACACCAGCAAAAGGGAAGGAGATTGGCCAGGTTCCTGATAGGAATGTTGCTGTTTTTTAGATGAAGCCATTTAATTAACATAAATGCAGCAGTGGCTAAAGTTAAATTCAAGAACAACAAAAGGCTGTGACAAATCAAAGGTTTTGCCTGACTTGTCTAAATCTTGCCCACTTCTAACATTTTTTAATTCACAGTTAAGGGAAATTCCATTATCCTTTTATTAGAACTCTTAATGGAACTTGGCCATTTGCAGCTTCTACCAGCTTCCTCTTCATATCCTTTGTGGCATTGTATCAAAGTCACCTCAGGATTATTTTGGCTTCTCTTGTGAAGACTCCATTCCTCTACAAATTAGTCATTGGGCAATGAGGAATTGAATGTAAATGCTAGATGGGGTTCCTTTTGATCTTTCCTTTAAGATCGGTAATAAATTATCGTAAGGAGCTAGAGTGCTTGATGAGTGATTTTTGAAGTTCCAAAGGTTTGGCCTGTTGGCATTCTGCTTTACTTTGCATGTGGAGGGATGGAAATGGGGAACATTTCCAGGCAGCTCCTGCCCCGTTCTCTACCTCCATCCAGGCACGCCTCATTGGTTCACTGTCAACCTTTTCTTCTGTGGATGAGTGTCTACAAAGAGTAGCATCACAGGGATTGAGTAACATAAATTCTTTCTCAGTCTTAGAATATCCCTTTTTCTCCCCTCCATAAATAAAATACAAGGGGGTTGCAATTCAAGTTGCTTTGTCATTTTAAGTATCCAATTATATTCGAACAAATTAGCTCTCGAAGCAGATAGGTTGTAGCAGAAAATGTTTCATAAGATGTGGTTAGAGTTGGCTTAACATCTCAAGCTCAGTGAGATTTCTGTAGTGATCTTTAGGTTAAATATATACATACATTATAAATCAAAGCTTATATAAAATACAGGCTTTCTGCAATTTGCTTTTAAAAAAAGAATACAGGGCAGGGAGTGGGTAGGGTACAATAAAATCAGATTGGCCGTGTGTTGATGATTATTGAAACTGAGTGATGAGTTTATGGGGTTCATCATACTATTCTGCTTGCTTGCTTGCTTATTTTTTTTTTCATGATGGAAATTTTCCTGGGAGTGAATGTTGTGGCATTCTTTTCCTTCTCTAGCTAGATTCCTTTTATTGTTAATTTTTCCCTTGACGTAAATTTATACCAAAGAAGGAACACTCAGCATTTCAGTGGGTTGGTTATGCTGAGTACACTCAGAAATGCACTCCTGGTCTAAAGTTGGCATAATTTCCTGGGGCTTCATCCCAAATTATAGTGGGTCACTTAAATGATAGCCTAGCTTGGTAGAAACTGTTAAAACAGTGGTAATTACAAAGGATAGTTAGTACAACCGTAGTGTTCTCAGTAAATCAGTTATGTTTGCTCTTCTTTCCTCCCCAACGCCCCCAACCCAACTAAGATTGCTTCTGCCTGACCCCAGGCACAGGAAAGTCACCAGGTTAAACAAATGTGTTGTTTGAGTGAGGCCAGGTGCACTTCTTAACCATACTCTGAAGCCATTGTTTATGTTGTAAATGGTCAGTTGGTTTTCTCTCAAATGCTGTTGCAGAAAGCAAATAAAGCTTAGAGCAAAATGTGCACTCAGAAGGAAAATATCTGATTTATTTTTTATACTTTAAGACAAATTTTGCTGGAGATGAAAAGAATTTCATTTTGGAGCATTATGTCTGGTTCCATGACCATTTTTTTAAGAAAACAATATTCAGTTCTTATACTACAGACTTGGACAGAATGGCTTGACACAAAGCTAATTCCCATTTTTCTGTCATAATAAAAGGGAACTTTGGTAAAGAGAATCCAAAGCAGCGGGTAATCTGATTTTGTTTTGTGCACTGTATGCTGTCCTCTGTTATGTTAATAAACACATAATAAACATAGCTTGTAATTTCTGAAAACGCACCATGCTAACTACCAGGAAAGGTTACAGGTCCAGAGGCTTTCCATGTCACTAGAGTTGAATTTTTTCTTTGGATAAGTTATGGCTAAGTAGAGTAGTAGGCTATAATTAGAACACTTTTTATTAAAACCCTGCTTATTAGCATGTGCTTTCTGTCTCTGGCCTGAAAGAAGTATTGCCATGCGTATAAAAGATCTCCCTCTCTCTCTCTCTTTCCTTTTCTTCCCCCCATTTTTTCTTTCTTGTTAGATTTTATCAGAGCTATGTGTTCAGGGGAGAAATCTCAGTTTATTAGCTAAACAAAGATGTTTATAATCTGCTAATGTAAAAAGCTATTATAAAACATGAAGATGCTTGGAAGGAAAAAGCGTACAATTCTGTTTCAGTCTATAGTGGTTTTTAACATCTGCATAATGAATTTTCTAAATACAGTTAATCTGCATAATTTTATATATATATTCCACCATTAAAAGTGAGTCTTTAACCCATCACCATTGTTATAGGTTCTGTATTTTGTGAAGTGGGCATCTCATGTTCTTTCAGTGACTATTATTATTTTAATAATTTTCTACATTCATGGACACAAATGAATGGACACACGTGAGAAGAAATGTCATCATAAAACTATGTTGGTAGAAAAAGCTTTTCTTCCGTCAACCTTATTTTTTGGTGGCTAGTGTTATTTTAATGGTTTTTCTGCAGACACAGACATACATCAGCTAAATTATAAACAGTTCATATGTGCTCCCCAAAACAGCTACGTATGGATATGCTTGATGAGTTAGCACTGGAGCAATTAGAAAACAAATCCTAGTGCTTTGCACAGCCAGAGGCCTTTGATGGAAGAGTCTCTGCTCTCTGAAACCCGGCTCAAAGTCTGCAAGTCTGCCAGCCCGCCAGCCAGGACCCAGCCTGTCCAAATCCTGGCTTAATTCTCTCTCCCCACCTCATTACTTCTTCAAGTCCTCCCATCCACAAGCCATCCACTTTTAAAAAGAATATTTCTAACAAACATAGATGTCTGGTTTCCCTAAAAACAATCAACCCTAGCAGCAGTCACAGAGAGAGTGGTTATTGCTTCAAGAAGCCAGAGCTCCATTAAAAAGTGGCGGCATACTAAAGTGAAGGCAAGGGCAAGGCCATAAAGATACTAAGTCATTAACAAAGGAACGCCGAAAGTACAGCTGCCCAGGACCAGTTAATTTGGACCCAAATACCCAGAGATCCCTACACAGTTTAGTAGTCCCAGAGTGAAATAATTGGACCTAAATTACATCAAGAAGCAGATGTTTTAAAATAGAGCTTGTCTATTTTTAGAAACATTGCTATTTTAAGGATAGATATTATTTATCTTAGAAAGTCTAGGAATAGCTGATTTTTAAAGGTTAGGTTGAATGAAGTATTACTATAGAATGCAGTTTAATAACAGAGAAATGGTAAGAGTGGTTGAACATGTGTTGGTCGTTGGGTAAAGGACCACAAACATGTGTGAGCAGAAAAAATGAGGATAGGATCCATATTCCCCCCAAATTACTTATTTATATAATTCTGTAAAAATATTAAAGTATATGATATTTTTATCTTAAAGATTTATGCTAGGCATAACTTGAGTAGAAGAATTGTAAGTAATATATCAGTACAGTGCATTTTTAAGTGTAATACTAAATATACGAGAAAAGGTCGATGTGAATTTGCATCACTCATGCTTCCTAAGACTACCTGAAGCACTGCTATTAATTCAAACACATCTGGGAATTCATGTCTTCTAGTGTACAGTGAAATATGGTTTAATAAAAAGTGTAAAAAAATATTGTTTGTGGTTTCATGTGATCAGAAGCATACAGCAAA